ATCTTCGCTACCAGTTTGGAACCAGGAGCCTGCGTATGTGCGTGCTCGCTTCGCTCGTGCGCCATGCTTCTGCGCATGTGCAGAGCATCCATGATGTTGTCTGGGTGGGTGGGGAGAGCCTCCTGCCGCCGCTACCAGTTTGCCCAAACTGGGGTGAACCGGCATAGTACTGCCCCAGACCCTGTACTCTGCCAAGTTTTTAAAGCCTTACAAAAGGCCAAAAGGGTTGGGGCAATTCTAATCTGCCAGGAAGAGTATTCCACAAAGAAGGGGCTACAGTAGAGAAGGCCTGTCTTCTAGTTTCCAACAGTCAACATTCTTTGGCTGACAGGATCTGAATTATACCCAGTTTGTTGGATCAAATTAAATGGATATTTTACAATTCTGGGTGGGAAAGGGCTCAGACGTCGTTACTCTTTTCTACAGGAGAAAGAATTATATCTTCTGGATGATCCACTAGCAGCTGTTGATGCAGATGTAGCTAATCACCTTATGCAGAAGTGTATCCTAGGAATTCTCAGACACAAAACTCGTATTCTTTGCACCCACAGAATTGAGGTTTTGGGAAATGCTGACATGATAGTACTGATGGATAATGGCAGAATTCTCAGGGCAGGTAAAGCCTGATGCCTTCTACTGTTCTCTTTGCCAAGGGTTTGAAATACTTACCTCAGAAAAGGAATTCAGAATGTGAACCAGACTCCCGTTTTTTCTTGGGAGCTTTTTATCAGTTCCTGAATGCTTATAAAGAAGGGTCACCGGTTCTTTCTCAATTCTGATGGCTCTTAAAATTGCCTGAAGGGCTTTTCAAACTTTGCTGCATTGTAAGTTCCAACAAAAAGCTCATTATTAATAAGTACAATTAACAAAATGCACAGGTATTTAGTAAAAAATATTGGCTTAAGAGAAAATACTGAATTAATTGTTCTACATAATAGAGAATTTGTTTTCATATTCATAGCAAGCATACCCAGTATAACAGAAAAAGGGACAAAAATATGCTGGTGAACCAATAAAATTAAGGCTGAAGGAATTATTCAGAAAAGCTAATAAAGCACCACACAAAAGACTTAACAGTTACAACAGGATAATGAAATTAATGTTTGTTTGTTTGTTTATATTTGTTGATTTATTTGTTTGCTGCCCATCTCGCTGCAAGGTGATTCTGGGCAGCTTACATCAAAATAAAACTCACTCTACATTTCTAATTAGAAAGGATTAAGAATTAGAAATGTTTAATGTGGAAGCAGATGGAGCAAATTTTCCTCAAAAAAGAAAAAAATAATTAATTTATAAAAAATAAAATAGACCATAATCCAGTGGGTTTGGCTTTTCAATAGAAATCCAGTTCTTTCAGATGGAGGATAATGAAATGCTGTTAAGAAAGAAGCATAGGAGGACTGTAAACAGAAATGTAAACATAGCAAAATCTTCCTATTTTACTAGGTACTCCAGCAATCATTCTTCCATTGGTAGAAACTGTCCCTAAACTTGGGGCAGTGACCAAGAGAAAGAAGGACACAAGTAAGTACTAGGTATTTTCATCATGGTACAGGAATGGGTTTGTTGAAATCAGTCAAAATAATATAAGTCTGGGGTCGTGGGATACAAGAATAAAGCTAGTTTAGTAATTTTTTTTAAATGGAACTCAATTGAGGCCACAAGATAGATAAGCACACAGGACTTATTTATTGTTTTCCTTTCAAATATAATAGTGGAGACAGGAAGCACTAGCCCAGTCTTCCTCTAATCAGGTACCCACCAAATTTGTTGAGATTGTAGTTGTACTGCCAGAATTGCAAGCCAGTATAGCCATCTTGAGGAGAATCCTAGTATAGATAGAGGAAGCTGAGCTAATGAATCTTGGTGATTTCCCAATAAATAAAATAAATCTCCATGTACATAAACTCTTGAACATTTCTTTGGAGAGGAAACAGAGCTTCAGATATTTGAAATCATGTAGGGGAAATGAGAGTACCTTCTACTTCTGCCATATCCTTTTTAATACAAATTTAGGAAAAATACATGATGGATAGGAAGTAAGTATGAATGGCCTCAACATTTTCAGAAACATTTAGTTTCACAAATTGAAGCAATATCAGTGATATAAATAGAATCCTGTACCTGTAGGTGAAAATATATTGCAAAAATGCTTCAGGTTTGGGGTGGGGGATACAATTAGTAATGCCAGGTGGTGCTAATGATCCTGCAACAGCCATATTCCATTAATGCTTATTATTGAATGGATGTGTCTATGGAGATTCTCAGTCATCCAGATCATGGTTATCCCAAAGGTGCTTTTTTCCACAAGTTTTTTCAACTTGGACTTTCTGGTTTTTCTTTGAAGATGTTTTGCTTCTCATCCAAGAAGCTTCTTCAGCTCTGACTGGATAGTGGAGAATGGAAGGATTTATACTCCTTGCAAACAGCTGGCCATTTGCATTCCTTTAACGGGTCATTAAGGTCACCTGGAGGTTTATCTGTGTCATCAGGGTCACCTGAGTGATGCAATGGGTGTGGAGCCTTCTTGGAACTGTTGAAAGGACTCTGTTGTAGATTGGAGATAGATGATGTTGTATTTCTCCCACCCGTTGAGAGAAGATTGTTCAATTTTGACATAATTCAATTCTTCAGAGCTGAAGAAGCTTCTTGAATAAGAAGCGAAATGTCTTCAGAAAAAACCCTAGAAAGTCAAGTTGCGTCTTGAAAAAAAATTGAATTGATGTGCATTTGAGGAAAGTCTCAGGAAGAAAACTTTATGGATTATAAACTAGGGCAATTCAGTATGTCTGCACTAGTAGCACAGCAGAACACCAAAGACATCTGAATCCTATGATGTAGTAGTAGTAGTAGTAGTAGTAGTAGTAGTAGTAGTAGTAGTAGTAGTGATAGATAGAAAGAAAGAAAGAAAGAAAGAAAGAAAGAAAGAAAGAAAGAAAGAAAGAAAGAAAGAAAGAAATTGAGTTAACCATTATCTGCAAAGCCTTTTGGTTACAAGTTTAGGAATAACTAGCTATTATTGTCCTTAGAGAAAGACAGGCCATATATTTCAAGAAAAAAATGACTGACGAAGTAGAATTCAGGTATTTGTATCCAGGTACATTCACCTGAATACCTTACTTGCTGTCTGCATTAAAGGTGAATGTAGTTTGCTTCTGAGTAATAAAATAGGATTAAAGCTTTGCAAAAGTAATAAGAAGTCCTCTGGTTTTGGAGTGGGTGTTTCCAGTCGAGAACCTCCAGTGTCCTATTATTGTTATTCCTGTTTCCTGGTATTATTATTTCTGTTCCAAAGTAGACGCTGAATGCAATGAAGTGGAGGAAGTGGAACATGAGGAAGAAGAGCCAGCCCAATTAAGCTGTTTTCCTAAGCAGGAGGAAGAGAAAAAAGAAGGGGCAGTGGCTTTCAAAGTCTACAGGGCATATTGGCTGGCTGTTGGCAGCTGCCTTGCATTGTCCATACTCCTTTCACTACTGCTCATGCAGGGTAAGCTTATAACATTGCCCCTTCCCTGTTCAGATTTCTCTCTGCTCTTGATTGCTGGCTGTTTCTCAGCAATTCAGAATCTTTGGTTCAAAAAAATTGACACCTTTATAGAAACTTGGACATTTTGCATCAATTATGAGAATTGTTGAAGACCTCAGGCATTGTGGACAGAATGATTGTCAAATTCCCCTCTCCCCCAGCCTTTTCTTTTTTAGGGAACATGTATTTTACTTGGTTTATGTTTTTTTGTACTTTGCTTTTCTAGCCTGTTGTAAAAAAAAAAAAGGAATTAGTTTTTAATTGTAAGCCACGGCAACCTTTTAAACACTCAAAGAGCCACAAAGGTCCTAACCAGAAGCCCCCCGTTCAATTCTGTAGCTGACCAGAAGTCTGGTTTCCCCACCATAGAGTCCTTCTAGCGTGCTGTCCTTTTTCCTCTACCTGTCCTACCAAAAGCCCTATCAATTGTGGAGCTGACCAGAAAACCCACCCCTTGCCATAGAGTCTCCTCTTGGCACACCCTGCTCCCCCCCCCCAAACTGGAAGCTCCTCTCAAAATTGTGGTGCCAACTGGTGACAGGGAGCCACAGCAGAGGGATGAAATAGCCACATGCGGCTCCAGAGCCACAGGTTGCTGATCTCTGGGGTAGACTATAAATTAAATATAACAAACATATAAGCCACCTATAAAATAGACAAAACTTGTAATGCTCAAGTTTGAAGTTTCTTCTTTTAAAGATCAATAATAAATATTAAGTCTTTGTGGTAACAGTACAATGTTAGTGATTTACTGGCAGTTTTTGTATTTAACAGCTTTATAATCTACAGTATAGGAAAATTTTGATTCTCCAGCCTCTTTCCAGGGAACCCACCGTATGGATTGATTGAGAGATACCAGGAATAAATGATTTCCTGTTATGTGAGCAAGTCTGAATGAGCCACAGGCTTTCACAAAGTTCCATGTAATTTAGAAAAAAATTGTTGCTAAAATTTAATTTTCACATAAGGTAATTTATTTGTGGCATGCACATATATTTATTTATTAGTGGCTTCTATGCTATTTAATCAAACAACTCAAAGCCACTTACAGTGTTATAATACAACTAAAAAAATAACAGTAATCATTTTCCAATATGTTCTATTCAGCATTTATTCAAACAGTTTGTAGAGGCACATTAAAAGTGCTTTCAAAGGGGCTCTTTATTATATTAAAATTGATAGGAGGAGTTGCTTTGTGGTGAGTTCTTCACCTCAAAGTCATTCAGATAAGCTTAACTTTTATTTAAATAAATAAAGCCTCACTCACTGTCACTTACCCATTTCTGCAGCTTCTAGGAATATTTCCGATTGGTGGCTCTCAAACTGGATATCCAGCCTACCTCATACTGAAAATAACTCCATCAGCAGCTTGGCAGCCCTTCCTTCTTCATCTCTGCTGCTCTTCTCCCATGAAGGACTCATGTATGTCAATCAAAGAGCTTGGCTATGTTTTATTAGCATCTCCTCACTGCCCAAACATACATGCTATTGAATCAGATTCTTTCTCTTCTTGGCACTTTTCTTTCTGTCCTCCTCCCAAACTGCCTCTAGAAGTGAGGAGTGAATTGGGAATGCAGAAGGGAAAACCTCGATCATATGGCTTTTCTTTCTATGATTAAGAAGCTGAACATTAACTAAACAGCTACTGACTATGCATAGGCAGAGCAACTTGCAGGGGGAGGGAGCAAGGAATAGGGGAGATGCACAATATTTGCTGAAACCTGATGGGAATCAGCATGTTTTCAGTGGAGAGGATTGGAATGGCCAGTTACTGTATAAGATTCGAGTAATCATGCTTCCAGTGACTTTCCCATTTGTTGCAAGTTCCCCTATAAACAGATGACTGAATCTTTCAGATGTCTTCAAAGGTAGAAAAGATTAGATAATGTGACTGGCAAAAACTTGAGCTTGACTTCAGTGCCTGAAGTAAGTAGATTTGAGTGAATGTAGAATTTCCAAAAACTCCTAGGCCTGAATCTGAATGCCAGACTGATAAGAAGGCACAGGTGGAGCAAGGACTAAAAGTATGAAGTGCTTAGTGCTGTTGGTGGGAGGAAGCTCCCTTCCTGCCCTCCTGGGAGAGAGTTATTGCATTTGGTCAAAACAGGGAGGGAAGCTGACTTGGATGAGTATTCCATTTCCAAACTGATTTTACCTGTCTCTTCAGTTTTCCAGTCTTGAGCTCCATTTCTTCAAATAGCACTTTGAATGTGAATTTTTACCTGACTGTGTATGGCTGCATTGCTGGGGCAAATTCAGTCTTCACCATCCTGCGGGCCTTTCTTTTTGCCTGTGGCACCATCCACGCCGCGACCATCATTCACAACCGACTGCTTAGACGGGTGATGAAGGTAATGACCTGGGAGCCCTTATTGGGAAAAGAAGGAACAAGAGAGGAAGATAAAAATTGAGAGTTAGAAAAATTGATTTTTTCAAACATTTAGATTTTTGAAAATTAATAGAATAAAATAGAATTCTTTATTGGCCAAGTATGATTGGACACACAAGGAATTTGTCTTTGGTGCATCTGCTCTCAGTGTACATAAAAAGACATGAAAAGATACATTCGTCAAGAATCATAATGTACAACACTTAATAATAGTCATGGGTACAAATAAGCAATCAGGAAACAATCAATATAAATAGTAAGGATACAAGCAACAAAGTTACAGTCCTGCAGTCATAAGCGGGGGCGGGGGGGAGATGGGTGATAGGAACAATGAGAAGATTAATAGTGCAGCCTTAATGAATAGTTTGACAGTGGTGAGGGAATTATTTGTTTAGCAGAGTGATGGCATTCGAGAAAAAACTGTTCTTATGTCTAGTTGTCTTGGTGTGCAGTGCTCTATAGCATCATTTTGAGGGTAGAAGTTGAAACAATTTATGTCCAGGATGTGAGGGGTCTGTAAATATTTTCATGGCCCTCTTTTTGACTGGTGCAGTGTACAGGTCCTCAATGGAAGACAGGTTGGCAGTAATTGTTTTTTCTGCAGTTGTCCTGTTATTTTATATGGTAGGAAAACATTAAATAATAGGATCACTGTATTATAATTATACTTCATTGGCTCTACAGTTCCGGAAACAATGATTGGCCCTTTGGGGGATTTTATGAATGCTTGCTTATCTCAGAATGTTGTTAGAGCTCCCTAAAGCTCCTTGTGCTCTATAAGAAATAATAATTGAAATAATTGATTTTGGTAGCCAGCAAGATTTTTATAAGTATACTTAGCTATCGTGTTTTTAGATGAGTTTAGTCACATGACCCCCCCCCCCCTTTGAATCAGAGTCTGTTTTCATATGATCCCACAGACTTTGACCACTGGACAACAAACATAGTTTAATAAAAACATCATGAAGCATCAATGGAAACTTACAGTCCTATTTACATGAGAATGTTGCTTTAAAAAAAAAGATAGTCCTGTGTGGGACTGCAGTGAGACTAAAAAGAACAAAATAGCATTGCAATATACCAGGATATTTCCAGTACATTCTAATATTCCAAAAGTCCATAGCCTTCTTTACTATTTTTTTTCTTTTCTATTGCCAGGCTACCATGACCTTCTTTGATACCACGCCAACAGGTCGTATTCTTAATCGCTTCTCTTCAGATCTGTACTGTGTGGATGATAGTCTCCCTTTCATTCTCAACATCTTCCTGGGCAACATCTTTGGACTGCTGGGCATGCTGGTGATGATAATCTATGGGTTGCCTTGGATTGGGCTAGTCTTACTGCCCTTGGTGGCCATCTATTACTTCATCCAGCTTTATTATCGACGTACCTCTCGTGAACTGAAGCGTCTCTACAGCCTCACCTTGTCGCCTATTTATACCCATTTTTCAGAGACCTTGACAGGCCTCAGCACTATCCGGGCAACCAGGATGACTGGGAGGTGAGTTTATCTCTTCAGCTGGTGGATGTGTAAATTCACTTGGCTAAGTGAGAGCTGTTTCAAAAGTTGATAAGAACTGAACTGCATGAGAAATTCTTCCTAATGTTAATCTTTGGGCTGAACCCAGTCTAGGTTTGAGACAGAGAATCAAGAACAACTGGAATTGAACCAGCGTTGCCGTTTTGCCAGCAATACGGCAATGCAGTGGCTAGATATTCGGCTGCAGATGATTGGAGTTGCTGTGGTTACTGCCATTGCAGGAATTGCCATCATTCAACACCAGCAGAAACTGGGTGATCCAGGTAAGCTATGGAATTATGGACTCTGCAAAGATGCACCAATCCATCTATACCATTCTTGCCCACTCAGTCTTCTTTCTTTCACTCACAATATTGTTCATCATTGATATTAAATATGGATTCTGGCTTTTTCTCCCTTCGCCGAAGAAAGGATAATAGTACCAATGCTGAAAAAGTAATAAAAAGTATTTTTTGCTCGTACAATCAGCATGCATTGTATGTGTAAGCAGGCAGGTGGTTTTTCTGTTCCTTTATCTTTCCCTTAAAAGAAAAGAATAATAATATTGCAGTCAAATGAAGTCCGTGTGAGAACAGGTAAAATGCAGTGAACTACTGGAACCTTTTTTTCAGCATGGCAGGCTTCTCTTTCTAATCATCTCTATAAAGTTAGACTGACTGTCTTAAACCGAGGGTATTCTTCAGATGTGTAGCCTATCTTACAACTGTAATGGAGCCTTAAGTCATGACAGTCATAAAGTAGGTTACCATATGGCCGGACCCATTTTTACGACCTTATGAACAAAATAATTATCAGTGCTTTTCATCTGGAATATTAGGAATCCTGTCTGGAAATACCATTCCCCCCAAAAAATAAGACAAGGTCTTATTTTCTATTGACCCCTGAAATAAGCACTTGGCCTTATTTTCGGGGAGGTCTTACTATTTTTGAGGCAGAGGAGGAGGCGAGCGTGGTCACCTCATGGCTGCTGCTGTGTTGCAATATTTTTTGGGAGGGCTTATTTTCGGGGGAGAGTTTATTTTAGCGCATGCACTCAGGCGATTGGGGTTATTATCCAGGGAGGTCTTATTTTCAGAAAAACAGAGTACTCCTTTCTGAAGATACTTAAGGGTAGATGAACCAGGATGTTAATTTCAAGCAGTGAGCATGTGTCTAAAAAAGGAAAGAACAGATTCTGGATCACTATTTCTAAAAAAAAAAAAAAGTTGGGATACTAGTATCAGAATCACTTCAGCAGTTCCAAGGAAAACTTTTCTTCACATGTTGGCACCTTTCTGTCCTTTACCTTTGGAGATGGATTACTATCTCTTACCATCACTAGTTCTTTGCTTTTTTATCTCAGCTTTCAATTTTGTTTTATTTTGCCTTTTTTTTTTTTTTGCCCCTCCAGGTCTTGTGGGTTTGGCTCTTTCCTATGCTCTATCTGTTACAAACTTGCTGTCAGGACTCATCACCAGCTTCACCCAGACAGAGACCATGATGGTAAGCGTGGAACGAACAGAAGAATATGCAACAGAAATTCCCATAGAACCTCAGGAGGAATTGCTTCCGGTAAGGCTGCCTTGTCTAAAATCATTTGAACAATTTGTTTATCTAGATGTAGAATATTCGTTTTCATATAATGCAACTGTAATGATTGCTTTGGGCTGCCTTTGCTTTTGTGGTGTCCTTGAAAAAGCAGTTGGTCCTCTCGAAGGACTTAAAGAGGTGAAGGTGAACTCAAATCTCCAGTATCTTTTCCATTCTTCCAAACTCACTTTGTTTTAATAAGGCATAATTTGGAGTCAGAGGAGGCAGGAAGGAAGGGTAAAAACAGCCACACTGAAGAGGAAATAATTTCAATAAATTTCTTGATGCAGATTTCCTAGGTTCTGTAGAATTGCTGAAGAGCACAGAAAAGTAGGGTTCCATTCTAGGAATGAAGCTCATGTTAGGAATGAAGTCCATGCTATCATCTGGAAGACTGCAACATTCAGTAGAATGTTGACGTTCAGTAGAAAAGTAGTTGGTGCCAAGAGGGCAGGTGAGCCCAGTCCTGTTCCACCAAACTATTACATCTAGAGTGGGAAGAACTCAAAATAACATTTGCAATAATCATTACTACATAGTCCTCCATGATTTGATTTGCTGTATTTCTACTGGTGATATTAAGTAATTGATCAGAACAAATTGCACAAAGTTGTAGATATCTTTGCTCATTTCTAACATTGTTGTTTTCTTCCTTTAAGGTACCCCCAAACTGGCCAGTTACAGGGCATATTGAATTCCAACAAGTAATATTATCCTATCGACCAGAATTACCCAATGCCCTGGATGGCGTTACCTTCACTATCTATCCTGGGGAAAAAATAGGGATAGTTGGACGTACGGGGTCTGGCAAATCCACTCTTTTCCTGGCCCTTTTCCGCATGGTGGAACTGAGAGGTGGACACATCCTCCTAGACAGTATTGACCACTGCTCTGTAAGCTTGAAGGAGCTAAGGTGAGTCATTTTCAACAATAGTGGCTCTAGGTTCCAGGGGTTATTAATCCTTCAGTTGTTGATACCATGATTCTCAAACTTAATCATGCTTAAACTTTGCTGATAAACCACTTAAGTGTGCCTCAGTTTATCAATGGTGATGCCAGTGTTCCTCAAACTCCTTTGCATCCATTTGAGAAGTCAATTTAAGGAGATAGTAAAAAGGGTTATTTAATGTATCAGTTGTGTGCTTGCTATTATTTCCTGCTGTCTTCTTTTTAGGTCTAGATTGGCCATAATTCCCCAGGACCCTTTTTTGTTCAGTGGGACACTCCGTGAGAATCTAGATCCCCAGCAGCAACACACGGATAATGACTTGCACCAAGTTTTGGAGCAATGCCACTTGCACACATTAATTACAGAGATGGGTGAGTCTTTTGCTTGGGGGAGAAAAAGGAGTTGCTGGAGCAAAAGGCATCAAAAACCTAATAAACCATCCTTGAAATTATGAGGTGTTGGAAAACTGATCAGAGTAATAAAAAAAGAAAATAAATTAATACCCACAGGGGTAATGCTCAGGCTGCCACAGAATGATACATTTTGAGCTTAAGAGGGTTAACTTTATTCAGAAATATGTTATCAAGATGGTGTTGGATGGAGCCAAAATAAAGAAATCTGAGGCCAGATCTTTTTCCTACTTCTTCACCCTTCCCTTTTTTCGTCTCACACCCTTACTTTAGTAGACAAGCAGAGGAACAGATAGTTCTTTAGAAAGATGTTATAATGTCATAAAGGTGAACTATTTTCTTTTGCCCCTCATGTCCAGAAATCTAATCATTGAGGAAGAGCTACTTGTTCAACTTTTTCCACTTTCTGTTTTAGTGTTTTTCTCTCTCTCTCTCTCTGGGTCTCTCTCACTTTTGCATAAAATACTGGGTGCTTCAGTCTGCTGGTAAAATATTTAAGAAAAGATGCCA